AGAGAGAGAGAGAGAGAGAGAGAGAGACAGAGAGAGAGAGAGAGAGAGAGAGAGAGATCTGTGATCTAGCAGGGTTTTCCCTTTAGAGAGGTTGCTCAAATAGAAGAAAAAAAATTTGAGGATTTGATTTTTTTTCGGTTTACCGTTGTTTTTGGATGTGTTCATTCAGTTTATAGGACTCCACTGTATGTGTCTTTGACAGAAATGTTATGCGAATATTTCACAAATCCGAGACAGCTCTTAGATACTCACAGGAAGTCCAGGCAGTCCATCGTCACCACGATCACCCTGAGGAGCAAGAAATCATGAAAAAGTGAACATTGATTTAATAACAATAGCAAAACGATAATAATAATTATTATGATAAAATCAAAACAATTATGATAAAAATAATGTAATAATTATAATTATAATAGTAAACAGTAAACACAGAACGGACACAATCCTGAACATTGAACGAATTAAAGGGTTAACAAGAGATGACAAGATAATTAATCTAAAAACAAGTTATAATCCTGAATTTCCAGTAAATTGCATAGCTACTACCTCAGCATGTGCAGGGAACGGAACTGGTATTATCAGTGTATATAAGGTAATGCTAAAAATATAAACGTTTGAACAAAAGCAATAATGAAGAACTACATCTCATCCTAGAAGAGGGTAGAGGCCACAGACAAACACTTCCCATTTCTTCCTATCCTGGGCTACCTTCTTGACATTATTCCATTATAAAACATATGGAGCCCCCAGTTCAATGTCAGTAACCAAGAGGAAAAGCTACTTACTTTACTTTTTCATTCTCGACACTTAACGGTAACAGAGGATGAAAAAGTAAAGAAAATAACCAATGGGGGTGGGGAACAAACCTTAATTCCTTTGTTTCCAGTGGCAGGTTCACCCTTTTGTCCCTTGTCACCAGGAAGACCTCCGGGACCTTCAAAGCCAGGCAGACCAGGCAAACCAGCAGGTCCAGAATCACCCTGAGGAATACGACATGAAGAAAGGAGAAGACATTAGTATTGTTGAGATAATATCCTATGGTAGTCATCAACACATTTTATGATCTGGTCATTGTTCTTGAGAAATGAGAAGTTACATAGGCTACATAATTTTAAAAAATTCCTATGATGTCTCTGACCAAACTTGACATCTCCCCTGTTATGCAATAAACTACTTCTGCATTCATAAATAGCAGATTAACAATTGAAAAGGTCCTTTCACATATATATATACAGGCTTTGTATTGTCATTTAAAAGCCTTTAATAGAGACAAATGTATGACTGTGTGTGTGTGTGTGTGTGTGTGAGCATGTGTATGTGTGTGCACATGTGTGTACAGTCAGAAAGAGAGAGAGAGAGAGAGAGAGAGAGAGAGAGAGAGAGAGAGAGAGAGAGAGAGAGAGAGAGAGAGAGAGAGA